CGTGGGGGAGGGTAGAGCTCCACCGGCTCGTCTGGCCCCCGCCCTGGCCCGGGGTGTGAGGGGGAGCGTGGGGATGCTGTGATCCCCAGATCTGCATCTGGGATGGGTCTGAAGCCCCCCCTGTGCACCTCCCAGGGCAGGGAGCATTCATGTGGTGGCTTCAGGGAAAGGAGAAGGGAGAGGGAAGAGAGGAGAAAGGAGGAGGGATGCTCAGCTCAGCTCAGCTCAGCTCCTGTCTCTTAAACTAGTTCAGGAGCTTGAGCTTCTTCCAACCAGCAGGTTTTCCAGACCTTGCAGCATTTTCAGACCTAACACAGTCTGCACCCCTTTTCTCACATGTGATTTTTGCCCATGGGTGTCCTCACAGCCATGTCTGGATGTTTTGCCATCCCCTCCTTGGCTGCCCTCCCCTTGCATGGGAGCCATCCCCCGTACCCCAACAGCACACAAACGCAATGAGCCATCCCCTCCCCATGCAAGAGAAGACCTAGGTTCCTGCTCTGCTTTAGGGGGGATCAGAAACTTGTTGCTCCCCCAAAGTATTGCAGGAGAACCTAAGACCCTGCCCTGGCTCCTCCATGCCCCAACCCTCTTACCTGCTGCAGAGCACCAGGGCAGGGGCCCCTCCATGCACTGCTCCACTGTCCCCAGGAGCGGGGCTGGCCATGCCCCAGCCCCAGCACCGAGCACCAGCCGGGGAGAGGACCAGGACACCTATAAACCACCGAGGTGTTGGTTGCACATTTCATGTGGGCACGTTGCGCAAAAGCTGGAGCGGGGACAGGGAGTGAATGCAGAGGAACTTGTTTGGGTTTTAAAGGCCTGATATTCACCTGGTTGGCCAGGGAGTGGGCGAGGAGCTGGCGTCAGGCGTCGGAGGGCAGGGACAGGAGGCACAGGCCTGCCTGCTTTCTTTCATGTAATGGGAACCTGTAGCAGGGTCCATCCCTGGGACCAAACCCCTTGCAAACAGGCACTGAAGGGGTTCAGGGGTTCAGGGGACCCTGAACCCTTCTGTTGCTGCAGAGCAGGGTGAGCAGCAGCATCCTGCACTGCAGCTGGGCTCCTGCCAAACACTCCTGACCTCCACCCACCACAGCTCCGCATGGCCACGATTCCATCCCTGAGCCCCTTCCCCTCCTCATCCCCCAACACTCATCACTCCAGCCCTGCACTCCCCATCCTACATTGTCAGATGCTCCCCCAGCCCTGATGGGCAGCGAGCAGCTGAACAAGCACACTTGAACAGACTTGAGGGCCCCTGCCACCTTGCATCTACCCTGGGAAGGTTTCCAGCATCTCTGGGAGCTGTGGTCCAGGCAGTGGCAGGAGCCTGCAGGCTCAGGGCAGGAGCAGCCCCATGCTTGGCCATCTCAGCAGCTGCAGGTGGCTCCTGAGTCACCATTTGGCCATGTGCCGGATGGAAACCCACAAAGAGAAGGTTTCCTGTGAGCTTTTCCATGTCCCAGGTTGCTGCCCATCACTCAATGGACACCCGGGCAAGAAGCTGAGAGGCATTTTCCCTGCAAAGCCTTGCAGGGTGGATCACTCCTGCCACAATTTCAACTCTTTCCAGCCACGCCTGCCACCCGTCAGCCTGGCCGGTGGCCATGGGGCTGCCAGCCCACATTCAGGCCTGGTGAGCAGCTCCACAGGAATCTAGGTGCCACTTGCTGCATTCAGAGGAGATTCCCAGAGCAGACACGGTGACCCCACAGTGCCCTGCCTGACACCTTCCCTGGCTCTGGCTGTGCCAGTGCACCAGTGGGACCTGGATTTGCACTGTCAAGGAACCCAAATGCCCTGGAGGGCCTGGGGTCTCCATCATGGAAAGACTTCAGGAGAAACCTAGATATTGAGGGAATCTTGCCTTGGAGCAGAGAGATGCTCCACAGAAGCATTGCCAGCCCCGTGCCCAGGGCTCTGCAGGGTATATGGGACAGGCAGCAGAGGAGATGCACCCCCAGCACCCAGGGAGATGGGTCCTGTGGTTCCTCTGGGCAGGAGGGATGGTTTCACGTGGCTGGGCATGGGCTGCAGGCGTGGGCAGCAGTATCAGTCACTCGTGGGCGCAGTGGTTACAGCAGTTACAACACAGGGCTGGTTTCTGGAAGGAGAAGGGTGGGTGCAGCCCCATCAGGCTGCCCGTGCCCTGGGGCAGCTGCCAAAATGCATCTGCCCTCTGCAAAGAGCACCCGTGCTGGGAGGCTTGGGCCCCAGGAGGGACCTCTTGAGCCATGAAGCCCTGTTCCTCACTGGAAGGAGACTCAGAGAATGTCAACACCTTCCACACCTCTGCTTAGGATCATGGACCAAGCCACTTCACTCACCCCTGTTTTCTTGGGATGGTCAGAAATTAAAGCTGAAACCTCTCCAGACAGATTGTGCCAGGGATGAGGTTCCACAGTTACCCTTGGGGTAAGTGTCCCCATCCCCTGGCCCCTCCTTGAAGCTGCTGGAGATGCCAGGGCTGCTTGCACCCACCAAGATCTCCATTGCTGAACAAGTTATCTGGGTCAGTGTGAGCAGATTTAGGACAGCCAAGCGTCTCCCCAGCTTCAGTTTACTCTCTGCTGGCACAGAGGTGAGGTGGAAATTCCTGTTTCCCATACTTTGAATGCTCACCACAGTTGGAAACTATGAGCTCACAGCTCTAAACATAGGCACTTGAAAAACCAGCCCGTCTCCCTTGGCTGCTTTGACCACGCCAAAATCAAAGGCACATCACGGCCCTGGCCCTGTCAGCAGTTTCGTTCTTTCCCAGGCAGAGCTTTTCTTGGTGCCTTTGCCCGACTTTCACGTGCAGCAGCATCTATCCTGAGTGACAGGATTGAGTCTGCCAGTTTCTGAAGGACAAGAATTCAGGTTCATGGGCAAAGTGAGTCTATAACCACTGCCTGGATTTTTCTCTCAGGCTTCAAGAAGTGCAGCTCACAGACAGTGTTTCAGCCCCCTTAGACCCAATGCAGGGCCAAGGGCTCCAGGATCCTTTTATCCAAGCAAGAAGGTGGTACCAGGCTCAGCTCCTCCAAAGCTCAGACCTCTGCTCTGGGATCAGTGCTTTCCAGTGAACAAGGGACATTTCTGACTCAGAATGATAGAATCACAGAATGGTTTGGGTTGGAAGGGACCTTAAAGCTCATCCAGTCCCAACCCCCCTGCCAGCAGCAGGGACACCTTCTTCCACTAGACCAGGTTGCTCAAAGCCTCATCCAGCCTGGCCTTCAACACTTCCAGGGAGGAGCAGCCACAGCTTCTCTGGGCAACCTGGGACACTGTCTGACCACCCTCACAGTGAAGAACTTCTTCCTAATATCTCATCTCCATCTCCCCTCTTTCAGCTTAAAGCCATTTCCCCTTGTTTTGCCCTTGGCCAAAGTCCCTCCCCACCTTCCTGGAGCCCCTTCAGGTACTGGAAGGTCTCTAGAAGATCTCCCCAGAGCCTTCTCTTCTCCAGAAGAGGACCCAGACCTTGCTGCATGGTTGACGTGGCCAGGGTCCTTTTTCTGCAGCTGTGACAGCTTTTAGGCAAAGCTTTGCAGCCTTTTGCAAGGACAAGAGGATGCTGCAGGGACAGCCCTTGTCTTCTACAGCATCACCAGAGGTGACCAGGTGGGGAGGAGGGAAAATGCTATCGTAGTTATGTGAAATTGCTTATTTTCAAAGCACATTTAAAGCCATGAGATTGACCTATATGTGAGACCACTGCCAGGCAAATATTCACTATAGGTCTCAATATTTCCCTATCAAATCCATGCTGCACTTCTCCAAACCACATGAGATGAAGCAGGGACATTTCCAATGAGCAGAGACGAGTCATGGAATCACAGAATCACAGAATGTTGGGGATTGGAAGGGACCTCGAAAGATCATCCAGTCCAACCCCCCTGCCAAAGCAGGAACCTAAAAATGAGACTACACAGGAAGACGTCCAGGTGGGTTTTGAATGTGTCCAGAGAAGGAGACTCCACAACCTCCCTGGGCAGCCTATCCCAGGGCTCTGTCACCCTCACTGTAAAGAAGTTTCTTCATCCCTTGACTCAACCACGGCCAGGATCCTGGTGAGAAAATCCTAGATTTATTCTTGAGGGCAAGAATCACATGGGGAGCTTTGCCACGCAGCCACAACACATCCATGGGGCTGGCAGCTGCTGGACAGGCTGGGCTGGGTGAAATCTCTGGCTCAGGGAGTCTATAAACAAGTGACTGCCAAAAGCTGCAGGAGGGATCGCTCTGCCCATG